ATCAAAAATACTCTTATGAATAAGGGCTATTATAAAGTTGATGATTATCTAAATGATCGTAATGCATGGACATAGTGTTTCTTATAATTTGATATTAAATGGGTATTAGTCATTTTTCATAACAGTAATATTGTACCTATCTAATGCCGCTTCCTATATACTACTTAAAATGTTAACTATAAAATTAATTGTAACTATATATTTATATTCTAGATGATGTAATGGAAAGTGACTTCAGACGTATTTCTGAAGTAATTTTTCAACTTGACGACACTGTATATAACAATACAGGGAGAAAAAAACAGCCCTTGCTGAGTTTCTTGCCGGTTCTTCTCAGTACAAGGTCTCCCGCCATAGTTTTGCGAACCGATGGCGTAGCTTCTTGACCTTCACAAGTGCTTGTAACAGCCTAGACTAAATAAATGTCATTTCATTTCATTTCATTTCATTTCATTTCATTTCATTTCATTCCATTTCATTCCATTTCATTCCATTTCATTCCATTTCATTCCATTTCATTCCATTTCATTCCATTTCATTCCATTTCATTCCATTTCATTCCATTTCATTCCATTTCATTCCATTTCATTCCATTTCATTCCATTTCATTCCATTTCATTCCATTCCATTTCATTCCATTTCATTCCATTCCATTCCATAACATTCCATTCCATTCCATTCCATTCCATTTAATTTCATTTCAAAGTCCCGTTCAAATCTGCCCTGTTTGCTTTGTTCAAATCTGCCCCACGGTCACTTGGAAAATAAAATATTACAAATAACGCGCCCGCGGCTAACTTCATTATGTTAAAATTTTGTGTTACAGTGATGAAAATTTCACTCTCATAATTTTTTCATAACGCGGCTAAAGAAGTATAACTTCAATAAATATTAATAGTTGTAGGCTGAACCTAATCGAACCCTAGATCGATGCCTAGTTATAAAAATATTTTGACAAGACAATGGACATTCTGGGATGATTCCCTGAACCTAAAATTGAATTTTTTAATAGTGTATCCTTATCGTGCTACATAACAAATGAAAAAGAGAGACTGTTGTCAGATTTGGATTTGGAGAATCATGCCAGAATTAGCTCCAACATATGACATTGACGTGTTACATTTTAAATTTTAGCTTTGAATATCGATTTATTGCACCAGAATAAATTGCTGTTTTTTGTTCAAATGCAGTGATTTAAAATTATAAGAAATTCTAAAAAACATATTCTTTCATCTCATATAACTTTTGTCTTGGGGGGTGGCCGAATACCAACCTCCATACAAACTCGGAACATCTCCTTTGAAATCTTATTTACAATGCCGAGCATAGACATACTATTATAGGGTATGTAAGGTTAATAAAATAAGATTGAAATTTTGAAAACAGTCCATTATCAATATGGTAAACCAATTAAATAGTTTGTATAATAATTCCTTTCTCTAAATTTCCCAAAATATTGTTACCCTACTTAAAAATATTATTAAACTTAACTCGACAGATACGGCACAACAAGTACCAAAAAGTGATTGTTATACCATCAGACTCACCGTTTTAGGCACCAAAATAAATAATATTCATTAATTTCTAACGGATATTAGCAATTTGATCGAAATATTTGTGACTGAGGTTAAGTAAGCTTATAAGAGTAAAATTACACTTACCTGTGAAACTTGATGTAAGAACCAGGTTTCCAAATACTTCTGCAATTTCGTACAATGCAATACATTCTTAAAATCCACAAAAATTGTAGCAAAACAATTCCTTTTAGTATTTAAAACTTCGAGGTGGTGAAAATTATTTGACTTTTCACAAATGACAATTCTGTCAGTGTTACCATTTTATTAAAATCATAGCGACCGACATTTAGGGACGTAAGGAATTTAAATATATTTTTTACCTTTTTGCATGCTTAAATGAAGAGTTTAAGATACTTTATGACGCCATTAAATAAAAGTGATCAAAAAATCACATAATTACTTATTGCTAAGCTTCATTTTGGCTTATTAGACTCTTTATTAGGGACTCTTTCAATTTATAATGGCAACTTTACATAAAGTGTGAGAAGGATAGAAAACATAACTAGAGTCATTAAACTTGTCTTCACTTTGTAGTTCTAGGTACTCTCTCCACCTTTATACACCTTCATGGTGATGATTGTGAATGAGCCACACTTTAGAGAGAATTTTTAAACTCTCGTTAACCAAAGAAAGCTAAGATATTTAGGTTCTATAGCCATATATTCAGTAGCTTCATTATTTTTGTTATGTTGTTAAGATAACCATATTTTAGATTTTTAGTGTATCACACCTTATAATTTTATTAATTTATAGTCAGGGAACGTAGGCCCATAGATAGATACTTTAAAGTCTAACATATATACAGATTATAATGTGTTTATGGAGGTGTTTGGCGAAAAATATATGGCAATAGACTTTATGATGTCGCCTACCATCTATAATAATTGTCTGAGCACATTTGCATCTAGTGAAAATGATAATATAGTTGTGGATACTAATACCACAGTGTAATAAAAACAAAATTATTTCATCGATCTTTACAAAATAGATTTGTTTTTATGTTATACTAGTGGCCTGCCCTCGCTTTGCTTCGGTGTAGAGTTGTAGTGTAGACTATAGATTTTGTTCTCAGGCGTGAATTGTACACATTGAATTTATTTATTTAATTCCTTTTTTTTTGATTCCTTTTTTATTGATTAGGTAATAATGTTAACTTTTTTAAATTAGGGATGAGTGAGAGTATTATAAACGTAAGAGTAAACAAATATAATCAGAATGCTCCGAACTGCTAAGCTATCAGGAGTTACACGTATTATTGTGAGTAAACCATAAAAGATAGACATATGCTGTTGCAGGATATTTTTTAGACAATTTTATGTAGAATATTCCCGTCATACATGATTTCAATGTAACTTTAACCATAAAGGCTGCACACACGACGGAAGCTTAAAAAATGGAGTAACTTCTCCCGTTTTCCCAATATTTCCCTTCACTACTCTGCTCCTATTAATTGTAGCGTGATGAAAAGTATACTATAACCTGCCCAGGAGTACGAAGAATAATTGTACCAAGTTTCGTTAAAATCCGTTGAGTAGTTTTTGTTTCTATAAGGAACATACACACAGACAGACAGACAGACAGACAGACAGACAGACAAAAATTTTACTGATTGCATTTTTGGCATCAGTATCGATCACTAATCACCCCCTGATAGTTATTTTGAAAATATATTTCATGTACAGAATTGACCTCTCTACAGATTTATTATAAGTATAGATATAGATTAACAACTTCGATCAGTCTTTGGCTGAATGTTACTACACCCATAGCCATTAAAAATGATTCGCATGTTTTCCAAACCGGTAAAATTAAAAGTCCTTTTTAACGTAAATATATTATACAAAGGTGTCCGTTGAAATCTAATGACTGTAAATTCAATTATAAATTACGCCAAGAATTACCGTGTATGTCAATATTTTTTGTGCATTTAGGCCAATTTGAGCAATCTCCTTTATCCCAAACCAAATCATTAAACTTCTATTGTAATTACTGTTAAGTATTAAAAAGATAACAGCGACGAAAATATTAAAACCATTATTGCTAACTTTATCAAATTTTATTTTGTATTCAAACCGCTGTCAATATCGCGATGATTTTATTGTGACACGGCCACCTCGATATTTGGACTAGACACGTGTTATAGTTTTTTTTTTATAGGAGACTTAACGTGGGTGTCTATTTGCGTCAAAAATGTATGCTATCTTTACAAACAGACTCCCACGATGGCTGACTATTTTAAATTACAAACCGTTAAAATAATCAATGGTACTCATTTGTTTTTAGAAGATGAACGATGAAAGAATGAACAATGTTTTTGTTTAATATGTTTCATATGAAAAGACTAGCAAACAGAACTTGGCCCTATTCTTTAGTTTTGTTTCACTCAGACTGTGTGTGTGGTGTGGTGTGGTGCGGTGTGGTGCGATGTGGTGCGGTGTGGTGTGTAGTGTATGTGTGTGTGTGTGTGTGTGTGTGTGTCATGACTTTGGTACAAATTTTCGTATTCGTCTCATCATACAAAAATTGCCCCACCGGGATTCGAACCTCTGAGTAGGCGACACTTAAAACCAGTTTACATAGGTACCACTCCACCAAGAAGGTCGTCGTTTACTGATTGATTTATAACAACAATAATATTTTGAATGGGGCCAAATTCAATTTGTGCCTGAATGAGAAAATTCCATGAAGACGTTTATGACAAGAAGAGAACCAAAGAAAAACCATGTGTTTGTTTTGGTAACATCTCTCCATGGAATTACTAATTACAGCAATTAAAAATTCATTTTATTTATGTATGGAGTGTTTATCACGGACCATACTCAAAAATAAATAGGTTCTTAAAATTATTTAAGAACCATGGAAAGAGTAAAAGCTTAGCGTAGCGAAATCAATATATTATTAAGTTGGCAATTTCAAACTTTCGAACTTTAAACTCGCGAAATACTTAAAAACTTATAACCTTATTCAATCAATGTAAATTCATTAATATACTGTTTACTAGCTTCTGTCTGCAATTTTATAACTGCTACGTCTAAAGTTAAAGTTAAGACTCAAAACATGTGAACACGTCTGTATCCAGAAAACAGAGAAATTGCAAAAAAGTTACAAACAAACGCAATACAATAACTGCCTACTTAATTTTCAAGAAATCAATACAAAAATAACTATATTAGGAATCAAATATATATCACTAACAATTTTTTAAGTAAAAATTGATAAAAAAAATATATTTTTAAACTTAAAAAAATATCACTTCTATCTGTGTATCTTAAATTTGGTACTTGAAACCCCACCCAAAGTCAGATAGACCTTTTTAAAGAAAATATCTATAGAATACACTTTGAAAAAAAAAGATATATCCGTCCGAATAGCACTCTCACGGTTTCTTGCCACTTTTCACCAGAACCTTCACAGCGCACTGACAGCACTGAACACTGGTCCACTGTTTACTTTCGCGATGCCGAACCGACTATAGTCCCTCATTGTGATTTTACGACGCGATACGTTCCGAATTTGTCTGTAACTTTTATTTATATTCGTTTCATGAAGCGAATTAACGTCTGTACTGTTTAATAGTTAACAGTTGCATCGAAAGGACCTTTCCAATTAAAAGTTTGATTTTTATGTAAGTCATTTGTAAATCTTAATTTGGTTATAATGCATTTGATACCGTTTTTAAATTAGGGTGGTAAGATTCTTAGAGAAACTGAAGCCAGCAACAATGAGACTTTTATGTGGTTTTCCATTCACAGGGCAAGAATCCTGGGGAAGAATTAGTTACCCCGCATCGTTTAAGATAAAATTTGTTATTTATTCCTCCAATTTAAAACGATAAATAATTTAACTATCTTAATATTTAATGATTTTTGTATTCCACTCATGGCGGTGTATGTTTGGATAAGACAAACGAAGCGACGACGTATGTTCGTCTTGGTGGAACAATAACATTTTGCATTCGCCAGACAACCTTTCTGCGACGTGTCTATGAATTACCGCTCTGCAGGGATATCACTTTTTAAAGTTAAAGTGTACAATACTCAAAAGAAATTTTAAGTTTACCATCAAACCTGAAAGACGAAAAGGTAAAGACAATATAATACGACTGCTAAATATTACATCAAATAAAAATAGAAAAGAAAAAACAAGTCCAGTAGACTATAATTCTGTTAAGTAAGGAACAAATCTACTACAAGAGTCGGGATCCATTAGATATACAAAAAAAGATAGAAAAAAAAAAATAATTAAAATAAACAGATATAGACTGGGCATACATAATTCACAGAAACCAAATATGTAGATGGCAGATTTTTCATTCAAACGTTGTTAATGGACATTGGTGGCAACTGTCTTAGATCGCTAAATTAAAGAATTATACAATCACCAAAGTAAAGTTTATAATATTTGATTAGACTTAAGGCGTATACCAAAATTTCCATAGCGTTAGATATAGCAGTCATTTGATATCAATTTATCACCCAATACATAGATCTCTGTCGTTATCTTTTAAAGCGTTCACCAGTTACAGCAGGCTTTCTGGTGTACTATTTTATATTGGTAGTAGAAAAGCTGGAATAAAGAGTGCTCCTATCAATTCACACATATTAAGGTTTATTAATAAATGTTAATTCGGATAAAATGACTATTGAACATACATATGATAAATGTTTTGTAAAAAAATATCTAAGTAATCGTAAAAACCAAAATATATTTTATAGTTTTTTTGAAAATCACGCACATAATAGACAGATAGACAGAGTCGGACTTTATTATATAATGTTTGTATTGATAACAATTTGTGATGTGATTAATAAAGTACCAAGTTCAGGTAAGCTGAAATACTGATTAATGTTCAGTAAATATGTTATTAAAAGTATGCCTTGATTCAGAACTAACAAAATTTTAAAATTCGAATTTGAAATATCGCAAAATAAAATCGGACAACCCTACGCAAGCTGTCATGTGATGGACACATACATACGTCTTTGTCGAATGTCGCGTCTCTTGCGCATAAAACTTCAAATACATGATTGATTTAAATCGACACTTGGGCGGTCGTAAAACTCGCACAATCATTCCGTTATCGAATGCGAATTTGATACTCCATAAGGCGGATTTAATTGCTCGTTGCACTTTTTTGTATCTTACTGATTTCCTGATGCGAAATATAAGCTCCATTTCAAATCACTTACAGGATACAGTGCAAAGAATAACAAATGTTTGACATAGTTTCTACATTTGAAATTATTGTGTCAGTAATGCATTAAGAATAAAAACGTCACTAATGAATTTTGGTTATCGACTAATATGATATATTTGTTGTTTTATGTTCAAATAGTGGCTTTAGTGTAGAGCTGAAGTGTAGACTATAGATTTTGTTCTCAGGCTTGTATTATACATGACATTCTTCTTATACCTAATTACAACAGACACGCGCCGCCAGGCCCTTATATATATTGGCTAAGATCGCCGCTTACCATCAGGTATATTGGCTAAGATAGCCGCTTACCATCAGGAGGGCCAAATGCTTGCTTGATTTGATTATGCTAAGCATAAAGATTATAAATTCTCTTCTCACAATTGTTTGATGATTATAGTTTTTTAAGGATCCAAGGGCATGCTGATTTACATTGGGAAAAAACCTCTTTCATTAGTATTTATTTCTTTCTCCCGGTGTGCGCTGCGCAATACGCCACAAAATAGCTGATGGTCGTGATGGAATCTTACAATTTCTTCACCAAGTCCGTGCGATAAAGAACTTCGTTCAAATACAGGTTACAATTGGGACAGAAATTTAGCTCAGCTTAGCAAAAGGCCAAGGTTAGGAATGAATCTGAATATCTTGCCTAACGCAACCCTTCCCTTAATCTCCACCGGATTGGGAAATCGGATAGATTGGAAATAAAGTTGCGTGAAGGATCCCCGAGAGGTGCAAACTGTTTGATTTAAACCTTACGTGCTTAATAAAACCGTTTGATGTCGGTTTGGACGGTTGTCAAACGGCTCTGCCCGGTTTGGTAATTAGACTTGTGATTGCGACGCAGACAAATTGTGAGATGCCCTAGAACAGGGATCGCAATTTCCTCGTAATTATAACGTTAGTGTCCTGCGCTTTTACAAGAAAAGAAAAGAAAAGAAAAGAAATGGCGCGTCAAACAAAACATAAATATGAAATTTTATCAAACAAGCTTCACACACGTTAATGTTTGACAAACCTTGCAATCTAGCTTTGTAAACGATCAAATTGGTTTGAGACAAATCTCTGTTGACAAAATTCTTTGTCGTATTTCCCTTTTTGTGAACAGTCACTTATAAAAAAAACTTACTTTAGCCGCACACGGGCCACACGCCACGGCCACAAACGCCGCCACGAAAAGCTAGAAGCGGCTACTAAAGTGGCTGAAGCGCGCGACAGCGGCCGACTAAGGTAAGGGAGAGAGGGGTGGGGAATCGCGCTAGTGACGTGTGGCGACGTTTTGTATCGGCGCATTAAGTGGCCGGTGCGGGCCACAAGAAGCGAGCAACGACAATTTGTAGCGTGTGGCGGCCACCGGTGTATTGTGTGTGGCGACTCCATATAAAATGTATGAAAACGACAAGAAATATGCCGGTGTCGGCGTTTTGTGGTTGTGGTCGGTGGCCCCTCTGCGGCGACACTTACTGCCTCAACTAGTATCGGTATTCTTGGTGTTGACATATCAAGCGATATCCAGTTCAGAGTTCATCTGGAGGGCAAGGTCAAATCAGCCTCAAAGAAGCTAGGTGTGCTCAATAAATAAAGGGGGTTCTTCACACCGGCTCACCGACTGCAACTTTATAAAGCACAGTTTCGGCCTCACATGGAGTACAGTGCCAATATACGAACTAATATCGAATTCGAATAGTTTGCGAGTGTGAAATAGCATTGTCAAATTTTGTATGGAAATTATAACAGCAGCGCCACAACGGACGTAACGGAAACTGAAAATCAGTACACATTTGACATACAAAATACTCGTAGATCGAATTCAACTGTTCTAATTCAATAATACATAGTTCGTGTTGAGGGTACTGTTCTCATCTTTGGGCGGGCGCACCGCCATACCAGCTTCTCCCTCTCGACTCGAATTAACGACAAATAGAACCTTTCCGATAAGTTTGATCTTTTGGCTTTGCGTAGAGATGTAGCTTCTCTCTACATCTTCTATCACATTTATCACGGGGAGCGTTCTAAAGAATTGTTCAGATAAATACCAGCTACTGCTTTTCGATATCGTACTTACATCGCGACAAAAAATTTCATCCCCACTATTTTGATGCGTGGTTATCCACAACCTTGCGATTTTGTCGATTTTTTTTACCACGTACGACTAAACTGTGGAATACATTCTCTCCAGCAGTGTTTCCGGACCAATACGACCTCAAAACTTTCAAAAACAGAGCGTACTGCTTCAATGTGATCACTTACAATCAGGTGAGCCGTCAGCTCGTATGCCCGCTATAATATAAGAAAGTGTTTGAATCAAACAGTTTGAACGTATCCCTTAAGAAACACGGTTAGTTAATGTCAAATTGTAATCTACATCATTAACTGTACACTGTATTTCATTGTTTCTACTCCACAGACCAAGAGAACTTAACTATATTTAAAACTAAAAACAGTAAAGAGGCCCCATTCCGCAAGATTGTAAAACACAGTTCCATTGATGATAAATTAACATCAATGTAGCATTGTAGCATTTGAACAATGAATTTGTTTATTCGTACTTTTTTAACCAAAAAATGAGATGTTTTATAAAATCTTTGAAATGCGCAGCGACGCATGACGCGTCGTCATAACAACTAATATCAGAATAAACATCTTATGCTTAATAAAAATAAATACTCTGTATATTTTATCCGTTAACATTAGTATACATATTATTATCCAAATCATGTTACCTAAGTATAGTTATTGTGTGCTACCAAAATTAAGGTTTTTGAAACTATGTTAACAAAATTTTCACTTTTTAATAATTATATTATAAGTTGGTGACGGGTTATGTTATGTTGTAATGTAGAGAATTCGATAGTTGGTAGAGTAGGCAAATCAGAATGCAAGGCCGCGTCAAGATGCAGCCATGCAGGTCGTAATGTTGAAAAGAGACGAAGAGGAGAGGACGGTTTAATAATAGTGAGAGACGGAAGGAATGGGAGAAGAAACGAAATAGAAAATCAATCAAAGGTATAAAGGATGGGAATAAGAAGAGTGCAAGAGATTAAGTTGAATCGATTAAACCCCTTCTTACCTTACAAGTAAATGAATGCTGGACGAGGGGCCTGACCGTTTACAAATGATTACCGTGAAACATGCCAACACTGCCCGTTTTTTCCAAATAATCGTTATTAGTTTTGGATTTTTCAATGGCAACCTAAGTATTTTTTGTTAGATGTGACTCTTACATCGTGGGCACATATTGGCGTATCAAAATCTCATAACTTTCAACGTTTAATTTGAGTTTTGGAGC